AGGCCTCGAAAGTGGCGACAGTTTCACAGATCGCAGCCCCCCAGCTGGCACGCAGCGACGAGCGAGGCGAAAGGCAGGGGGGAAGAGAGGGACGGGAGGGGGTGGGAAGGAGACGCGCGAGCAGTGCTCTATTCAAAGCGAGCACCCAACGCAGGAGGGTTGGGAAAAACAGCGAGAACAGCACAATCAACCACAATAACAACAGCACCAGCAACAACCATTGCAGCAGCGTCAGCATCAGCATCAGCACCATCATCACAATCAGTATCAGCAGCGTCAACAGAAATGTCAGCATCCTCATCACCATCAGCAGCACCACCATCATCGTCCTCACTACCATCATCATCAACGTCATCGTCTGCATCAGCATCACCATCATCGCCATAATGGGCATCATCATCAACAACAACGTCATCAACATCATCATAACATCGACGGGAGCATCGTCATCATCATCATCATAAGTAGCATCATCATCCGCAACAGCAACAGCGTCAGCAGCATCATCATCATCATCATCAGCAGCATCAGCATCACCTTCATCGCCATCATCATCAGCATCACCATGATCATCATCACCATCAAAATCATAATCAGAATAAGCACCATCCTCATCATCATCATCATAGTCAGCAGTATCTTCATCATCAACGTCATCAGCATCAGCATCATCAACAACATCATCACCATCTGCAACACCAGCATCACCATCATCAACATCACCATCATTACCAATGTCACCATCACCAGCATCATAATCACCATTATCATCACCATCATCATCGTCACCGTCATCGTCATGGCCATCGTCATGGTCAGCAGAACCACCGTGATTGTCACCATCCTGCTGCTACTCCTGCTTATATCACCTCTCTCTCTCGGTCCATCTCTCTCTCTCTCTCTCGCTCTCTCTCCGCTCCCTCTCTCCCTCTCCCTCTCGCTCTCTCTTCGTCTCTCTCCGTCCTCCTCCTCCTCCTCCTCCATCTCTTCCTCCTCCTCCTCCTCGTCCTCCTCCTACTCCTCCTCCTCCTCCTCCTCCTCCCCCTTCCTCCTCCGCCTCGTCCTCCTCCTCAGCATCCGATTCCTCTTCTCTCTCCTCTTCCACCTCATCGTCAAGCTCCTCGTTCTCTCATGTTCACTCCTCCGTCTCCTCCTCCTCCTCCTCCTCCACTTCCTCCTCCCCCTCCTCATCTTCTTCGGCTTCCTCTTCCTCCTCATCCTCTTCCTCCTCTTCCCCCTCCTCCATCTCCTCCTCCTCCTCCTCATCCGCATCCGCCTCATCACACTCTTTGCCCACGCCATTCCATTCCTCCGTCCTCCAGCTCTGGCCTCATCCGCCTATCCATCATCCCAATTCCTCCTCATCGTCGACACGATCAACATCATCATCAGCAGCAACAGCATCGTCATCATCATCATCAACATCATCGTCATCATCATCATCATCATCATCATCATCATCATCATCATCATATCATAATCATCATAAGCAGTATAATCATCATAATCATAAACATCAACATAAGCATCGACATAACCAGCATCAACTTAATCATCATCCTGCTCACCATCCCCGTCATCAATAGTGGAATCCGTGCTATCATGATTGCACTCGTGATCGACATAATCATGACCAACATCCAGACATCAATCATAAAATGAGTCAGCATCATCATCATCATCAGCATCATCATCATCCTCATCAACATTATCAGCACCGCCACCATCAACCCCAACAATATCATCGCCGTCGCCGTGAACATCGACAGCACTGTCATCATCATTAGCAGCAGCATCATCATCAGCATGCTCATCACCAACACCAGCATCATCATAACCAGAATCATAATCAACACCATCATCATAATCATCATCACCATCATCATCATCATCAGCATCATCATCATCATCATCAACGTCATCATCGCCGTACGCATCAACCTGGTCATTACCATCACAATCAGTCAGAAGCAACATCACCATAAGCATGGCGATCGCCGTCACCACCATATAGATCATGGTCAGCATCATCAGCAATATCAGCATACTTATCCCTGTTCCAGGTCCCCCGTAACCCCCCCTCATTCGAACCCCGCCCTCCCTCCCTCCCTCATCCCTGGTCATCCCGTCTCCTCCTCCTCCTCCTCCTCCTCATCCTCCTAATTAGCATATTGCTTCTGGTCGCGCACTTCCTGTCCTACTCCTACTCTTCTTGCGCACTGCCCTGCGCTCGACCCATTCATCGTCGATCCGCCTCCTGCTCCTGCCGCTCTCGCTCAACCTCTTTCTGCCCCACATGAGCATAGTCCTCCTCGTCCCCCCCCCTCCTTCGACGCCTGGTGGTGAGACGGTTGGCGGATCTAGATCCTGCGCCGCATGCTACTCATCTCCCCCCGACTACGACTGGCAACTACGAATCCGAACTTTACTACACGTGATACGAATGGCAACGAAAATCATCACATCAAACATATTACGGCCATGACTACCGTGCGAGTAGCAACACAACGTATACGATCACCAGGTGTGACAACAATCCAACGTCATCAACAAGACCGCCATGCTCCTGTGATCTACTCGCTCCCCCGGATCATCCTCAGCATCCTCACGCGTCCCCTCCTCCTCATCACCGTCATCGTCATGGTCCTCGGAATCCCATCCCCCTCAGTATGCTTCTACTCCGAGTGATGCTCATAATATTCATCGTCACCACCACCACCATCATCAGTATCAGCAAAAGCATCATCATCACCATCATCATCAAAAGTATCATCACCAACATCAGCATCAGCATCATCATCATCATCATCATCAACATCACCATCATCAGCATCGTCAACATCATCATCAACATCATACTCATCATCATGATCATCATCCTGATCGTTGTCATCAACATCAGGATCAACACCATCACCATAATCGGTATCGGCATCAGAATCAGCACCAGCATCGTTCATCATCAGTAGCATCACCATCACCATTACCATCGTCATCATCACCATCACCACCACCATTCCGCCATCGTCGCCACCACCGTACCATCATCATCATCATCATCATCATCATCATCATCATCATCATCATCACCAACATTCCGCCAGCGTCGACGGCATCATCACCAAATTTAGAATCATAATCACCATGATCACTGCCCATTCCCCTATTCTAGCTCCCCTACGATTGTAGTCCAGGCCGCCTCGAGAGACTGGTCCCGCGCCTTGTCGGTCTCTTTCTCGAGCAGCTCCTGCACCTGGCCAGCGGCAAGGTTATCATAACAGGGGAGGGGGGAGGAGAAAGAGGAGCAGGAGAATGAGGAGAAAAGCGACAACAACCTCCGTAGCCATTTTGGCTCAAGCCGCTCACCAGCGAGCGAAAGCCCCATTGCTCAAGCGTTCGCGATGGTGCAAGGGGCCGCCGCTGGTGCTGTCTTCGCTGCGGGGGGCAGCCCGAATTCGTGGCGGCCCAGCTCGACAAGGTCAGCCGAGATAGACCTCTTCGGGCCGTCTTCTGCTCGCCGTGCCGCTCGTCGCAAGGGTCGGGCCGCCCTCGAGGCTGCCCTCCGCGCTCGTGCTTGCGTGGGCGAGCCGGGCTCCTGGCAGGACAGGGAGATGGCGGCCAGGCACGCGCTGAGGCTGATGTCGCACGGCCAGCCTGTCCCTGGGGGAGGCCGCAGGAGGAGGAATGCGGCGTGGCACGCTGCTCGCGTTCCAGCGAACAGCTTTGTAGCTGCCTCGCCAGGAGAGCTCGCTTAGGCAGCAGCGGGGCCCAGGCTGGGACATCACGCTGCTGCTGCTGCTGCTGCTGCTGGTCCTGACGTCGGGGGCTCTGCCATGCGGGCCGATGCCGTCGCCTTCGTGTCGCTGGGGGCTGGGGCTGGAGATGGAGCTGCCGTGGTTCCGCCCGCCCACGCCGCCGCCGCCGCTGGCGGGATGACATGCAGCACACGCGGGGCGGTCGTCTTCCCTGATGCCGTTGTGCGCTCGATGCTGGACGTCGCCACCGACCCAATCAGCGCTTCGGAGTTTGGTGCGGTGGAGTCGGGCTTCCTCTGCCCTCCCCCTGCTCGGGCGTTTGCTGCTGAGGACCCTGCGCGAGGACCCGACGATGAGGGTGATGGTTCAGGCACCGCGGCTTCTGGGCCCCTGCGGGTGAGGACTGCCCGCGGTGCTGCGCAGCCGCCGCCTGCAGCCGGTGCGTGGGAGCCCGTGGGCTTGCCAGTGGACCCTGGTGAGGGTCTCCTCTTCGCAAACGGTGCTGTCGATTATGTTTTTTTCGTCCTCTTCTGCTGCTGGGATGCGGCTGACGTCGTCGACTGGCGGGGCGGGATTCCCATCGTCTTGTTTCGTTGCCTCCGATTCGGAGGACGACGACGATCCGCTCAACGAGTATGACTTCAGCGGCTTCGGCATATGATGTTTTCTCCCGGGCTCGCATTTTTGTTATTCAGGTATGCTTGGATAGATATACTAATTCTTCGCTGGGCTCACGGCACACTGCGATTGTTGTGGCTTCTGTTTTTTCTCGTGCGGGGCATGGGCTTCCTGATGCGACTCGATCGTATTGTATGTGGCACTGCGGACCGACGAGATCGAACAACGCTTCTGGGCTGTGTGTTCGGCACCTCGAATTACATCTGAACTGTCGCTGCTTTCTTGAAGTTCATCGCTTTTGCGAATGATATTCAGGTACGTCGCTGGGGTACCTCGCTCTGCTACGTACGTGATCTGATCGTGAAAGAGGTGTCTCGCTCCTTGCTCATCGGGTCTTCCTTCTTGTACGGCATGTTCTTGTCGCTGGACGAGGCCCCCGGAGCTTCTCTGAGGCATGTCAAAAAAGAGCGACAAAAACGACTACGACGACGCCGACACCGACGACGAAGCCGACGCCGACGCCGACGCCGACGCCGACGCCCACAGCAACGCCGACATGGCCGCCGATGCCGACGCCCACGCCGTCGCCAACACCGACGCCGAAGCCGACGCCGACTTGACTTGACTCGGCCTTCAAGACGGTGGCTCCAGGGCCCTAGCCATCCGGGTGACTTAAATCTCGAAATTGGTGCCTGGAGGCACTGAGCCTCTACAGGGGGAAGTGAGAAAGAGCGGCAGACTTAGAAGAGGGGCCCCCCAAGTCGATACAATATTCAGCACTAGAAGGAACTCAGATCCGAGGCCAGGAAAGCATAATGTTTGAAGCTCAAATATATCCAGAAGCAATCGGAGGTGTGGGTTCTGGGTTTTTTTTAATGTTCCCTGTCCGTGTTGAACCTCACGACGCCAGTTACTCCAGTCAAACTCGGAGTCTTTCCAGCGTTCGGGGTCCAGTGCGATCTCGCGCCACTGCAGCCCGTAGTAATCGACGAATTGCTTCTCCCAGCGCCAGACATGGAAAGGGTAATGGTGCCCTTGGGAGCCTATGGAGTCCTCGAAGTGCTTGAGATAATGGTAATCTTTATACCCCAGAGCTTTATACACAATGCGGTCGGGTTCATAGGCTTTCATACGGGCAACATGGCCCGCCCAACGGTGTCCGAGGGTCAAAACGTACTGGTCCCAGGGCATGGTTTTGGCGTTCATCATCAACTCGTGGATTTTGCGGTAAACGCGTCCCATAAAAGCTTCCATGGGTTCCTCATCTGGCTTGCGGATGCCTACCATATGACGAATCATGCGATACTGCACTGCACGGATATGGCTGAGATGAGCTCTCGTGAAATTCAAACTTCCAAAGCAGAAAAAAAAAGTGGCCTGACGAACAACCGAATCCAAGAGGCCGAGGCGCTTCAGAATGGGGCTTCGCTTATTGCAGAGGATCCCACGATGTGTACTGAAGACTGCCCAAGCTCTCGTGATGCCTCGGCTGACCGCCGGGGAGGCGCAGTTATCCGTGGTGATCCACGCTCCAAGCTGACGAAAGCCCTCAGAACGACCGCGACGAGAAACGAGGCCTTCTTCCAAGCGCAGCGTCGCCGCCGAGTCCTTGGCGGTCGCGAGCCAGAAACAGTCGCTGAGCAAGACCGTGCAAGCAAAGCGCTGGCGTAGGATACGGTGCCACTCCGTCCACATTGCTCTCAACATCTGAGCGGAGCTGGCTAGCAAGTAAAAATTGTCGGCGGACACCATGAGGGGTAATCGGGTGATCCTCAGGTCCTTTTGGTATTTCTTCGGGGAGCTCAGCATAGCCAGGTCCTCGGGTTCCAGTGGGTATCCCCATCCGATTTTCTCGCACAAAACTTCAAACTCGGTAATCGGATCGTCCAGGAAGAGATTGAAAAGCTTGGGGGCCTCTGGATCCCCCTGGAGCAGAGAGCGCGCGCGGGAAACCTGGCGAGTGGGTGCCACACCAGGCAGCAGAAACTCTGACCGTCCACTACATATTTCTCGTAGCCACGCCGCAGTGATGATTCTGGGGATCTGACGTTTCCGATGATTGCGGATGATATGGCGATGACGTACATGATCATAAGCTTTGTGTAAGTCGCCCACCCCCAGGAACAAAGGTTCACGGAATTCCACGGCTCTTTCGATCAACAAGCGGGTGGTGGCTACAACCTCGTGCACCTGGTAGCTCTTGCGGAACGCAAGCTGGAGCTTCGATAAGGGCATCTGGTCGAGCTCTATCAGCTCGCTCAGGCACATGGAGTACAGCTTACGCACGCAAGGCAGCAGAGCGATCGGGCGGAAATCCTTGACCCTGCAAGCTCCATAGAATGGGCCAACAGCGTGACCTAGTGTCTACTGAATATCGGGTCGAGATGTTCACTCGGATGATTACGCAGGCGGAGTACATAGAGTTCAGCTAGCAGGTCCAGGGTTTCGGTGCTAAGTTCTTTCAACATTTCCATGACGATGCAGTCATCTCTGGAGCAGGTCTTTCCAGGCTTAAGGCGGGAAAAGCACTTCCTAATCAACTGGGCGTCCAGGCGCTTGGGCAACTCCTCCAAAGCCTCGGGGCCCCAGCGTTTCCAAATCCACCTGGGTAGACTAGCATCTGTCGGGTCCTGAAACAGAGCCTCGTAAAACCGAGCCGCCTCCTCCCTCATCTCGTCCTCATCCGTCGTGATGTTCTCGTTTCCTCCTCCCACCTTCAGTGCTTTCACCTGATTCTGACCACGGAAACGATCGATGGAAACGATCGACTTTGCGATGCTGTACAAAATAAGCCGCACGAACATTTTGCTTTTAAAAAAGCGAACTGGCGCATCAGCGGGACCAGCTGCAAGCTCATGGCCTGCCTGAGCGTCGGGTCCTGCTCGGTGTTCCGCGCTTGCAGATACTGATGGATCCTGTAACTCAGAGGATGATCCTTGGGAACGTTCGGGGGTCCCTCGGAGGTTTCCTCGCCGCAAGCCGAGGCGATCTTGCCCACCAGAGCGGTGGAAGAGCCCAGGGAGGGGGCCGGGAAACCTTGACGATCGACGCGGGTGACTTCCGAGGCCGACGGTGGAACATCCTTTGCGTCGCTATCAAGCGTAATCAGCTGAGTCTTACGCGGCCGATCTAGTAGGTCTCTCCACGACCTGTGAAAGAGTATCGACTCCTGCAGAGCCGCACACTGAAGATAAAGGTACTGCTGTTCCGATAGAAGGACATCTGAGTTGTTGAGGATGGCGCAAAACTTCTCGGCATTCAGGGATGGGATGGGGCACGGCCGGGTGCGGGGCCATTTATGTTGTTCCATTTCGCCGGGGAGAGGTTGACCTCCAGCTTCAGCTAAACGATCAGCGATTTCATTTCCCCTGCACTCAGAATGCCCTTTGATCCAGGAAAAGAAAACCACGTATTCCTTCTGGGCAGCCCCCCCAGACGTGCTGCAGCAATAAAACCAGAACAACATTATGTTTAGGTCTGAACTTGTAACGCAGTATTCCCAAGACGTAAGTCGAATCGAAAACGGCTTCCAGGACCGAGCCTCTCGGAATCGAAGCAGCACCTGTCGGTAAGTGTTGCCCCAAAAGCCAGAGTCCCATCTCGATGGCCGCGGTCAGCTCCGCGGTGTCGTTGGTCTGCCTGAGAGCTCCTAAGAAACCATCCTGGTGGGGATCCAGAAAGACGGGTCCACAACTTTGGAAAAACGGATCGACTTGGCCCCCTGGGGTCTTAGAATTCTCGGGAATGCCTGGGGGGGTCGTTGAAAACCGAAAATCCCCAGCCACAAGTCCCACGGTGTTTATTGTACTGTTTAAAATGGCCATCGCCATACAAACGAAAACGCACATCATCTAAACTAAATTCGGCCCCAAGACGAGCTTCGATTCCAAGCTGGCCCTCAACCTTCCTAGCGAAGGTGTGGTCGAGCAATCTCCAGCCAACCGGCTTGGTTTTAAAACTGCACTCGATATTCGGCAAAAACTGCGGCACCGGTTTCCTCGCGGCAAAGAACCTGCAAACTAGAGGGCAGCGATCACTCTTCCAAGCGGAGCAGCAGCGGGCCTGGCAGTCGCAAGAGCCACGAGAGGGTCCTCTGCCGATGGCCACGAAGTCTATCTGCCTGGGCTCGAACTTACCGTCGTAGAAACAAGTGCACGATCCCATCAAAGCCTTACTCCATGTACTGCTCAAGATCAAGTTGTTGCTGACCACGAACTCATAGAAGGCGTTAGACTTCCAGTTCCTTATGCCAGCAGTGTAAGGGCCGACGGTCGAAGATGGTCTGAAGTCGCGCTCGAAGGGTGCATTGGCGTCGACGCACAACATGGGCGTGAACTGTGGTGGGCACCTCCCGAGTAACTGTTCGCAGTCGGCAGTGTCCGCGTAATATTGACTATGATGATTGGTGTCGGCATCAAGATGCGAGAAAACTATGGTTTCCGCCGTGAGGAGTGACGATGCCCACGGCGATGCTGTTCCCGAAACTGACGGGGCCGAAGGTGATGCAAGCCTTCAGCGTCTTATGCACTACAATCGCGGGTCTCCTTTTCCGCCCACGCCCTAGGATTACGCGATGGCCAGCTATCTCCTCGCAGACGTTCAGCACACCTTGTAGACATGCAACATCCCAGTGAAAGCCGGCCTCCATGAGTTCTAGCCCCCTTGCGGCACTACGCATCGGAACTCCCCTGCAGTTCCAACTGATGACTATGGTGTCGTCGCTAGATGGAAGGCGCCTATTCATATCTGAAGATAATCAAAAGCCGCCCCGACGGGGCGGATTGTTGAATTCCTCCATGTGCTGGGAAAAGTCGATCTCCACTCCCTGCGTCCTCAACCACTCCTGCGCATCAGGCATCACCTTCAGGTTGTAAGAGGGAAAATTGCGCATCAGGATCTTCAACGGGTTCCTCGGGACAACATCGGCGGGTAAGAACTTACGGAGCAACACCGCGGAGCCCATGTCCTTGGAAGCGCCAATCATCTGCATCAGCTCGGGTTCCGAGAAGGTCGGCCACTTCGTGCTGACAGCTGCTTTGAGAAGGTCTTTGGCATGTGTGGCTCGGTTCTGGCAGGTCAACTCCTCGGGATATTTACCGATCGTGTGCCACAGCTGCCTCTTGGTGGGGTTCATCGTGTCCTGCGGCCTGTTCTCGCGCGCGAGCGTGGAAGAAGACCTCATGCCCTTCATCGCCACCAGGCAACCCCACATCTTCTGACTCGTCTCGAACTCTGCGTTGACGCGGTCCGCGTAGCTGCCGACAGGAAATATGTTCTTCATCCCAGTGATGTGACTGTCAGTGAGGATATGCTTGAGGTTGTTGGCGAGCTCCAGTCCCTCAGTGTACTGGTAGCCTCCGACGCACAAGATCTGCCGCTTGTTGACTGGGAGCCTGATGGTGGGTTGGACGGCGGACAAGTCTGATCCCGAGCCAGCAATACTGCCAGCAGCACGTCCCTGGCCAGCGCTGCCAGTTCCACCTCCACCCCCTCCGTTCTCCATGACAGTGACGCGGGCGGTCAGGTTCACCAGGTCTGCCTTCATGGCGGCCACCGTCTTGTCGGTGTTCCTAACTTTGCTGGCGACTTTCTTCACTTCTCTCTCCAAGGGGAGGACACTCTGAGACAAAGTACTGCGGAAATCATTCGTCCGAGCCCTGAGTAAACGTGTCTCCATGCCGTTCTCCAGACCCTCGGGTACGGGCGCAGGCTGCGCGAGAACTGCAGAGACGTCGCCAG